TAACAGTAAGGATTTCTTTTAGTACATTAAGGGTAAACAAAATGTTAGAATGGGGATATAACCCTTAAGGAATGATAAAGGAAGGCTAGTATCTGATGATTATGAGATGGCTGGGTTATTGCATTTTTGCTTTTTCTTCAGATTTTCCAACAAAGATTTAAGCATTATTCCACATCTTCAACAGTTGATAGATGGAAACAAGGTTTGAACAAGATGACTGCATTAATTCTGAGCTTGTTAAGAAAAAATTACAAAGTTTAAAGAACAATAAAGCTACTGGGCCAGATAATATTTCCCCAAGGGTTTTGAAGGAGGCTAGAGATTGGATATGTGAGCCACTTACTACTATTTTTTGTAAGTCCTTGAATAGTGGGCAGGTACCAGAGGATTGGAAGTTAACTAATGTAACTCCTCTTTTCAAGGGAGGTGATAAAAATTGTCCCAGTAATTATAGACCCATTAGTCTTACATCAGTTGTGGGAAAATTTTTGGAAAGTCTGGTAAATAATGCTTTGCAAAGTCATTTAACAAAGTTTAGAATTTTATTGGATAGTTAACATGGTTTTACTAAGGGTAAATCTTGCCTTACAAATCTTTTGACATTCTTTGAAAAAAGTTAGTGCTTAAGTAGATTTAGTGTATCTGGATTTTCAGAAAGCCTTTGACAAGGTGCCACATAAAAGGCTTGTAAAAATGTTCTTTATAGGTGTGGAGGATAAGTTAGATAATTGAATAGAAGAGTGGCTGGATGAAAGAAAGCAGAGGGTTGTTATAAACGGAGTTCAGTCAAGCTGGATTAATATCACAAATGTGGTACCTTAGGGCTCAGTCTTAGGACCTCTGCTCTTTTTGATTTACGTTAATGACATAGATGAAAGAATGGTAAATAAGTTACTTAAATTTGCAGATGATATTAAGGTCTTAGGTGTTGCTAGCTGTGAAGAGGATGCTGCTGATTTAAAAAGGATTTAGATCATTTAGTGAGTTGGGCAAATTAATGGCAGATGGGTTTTAATTATAGTAAATGCAAGATAATACATGTGAGTTATCATAATTTGAATTATAAATATAATTTGGATATGAATAACCTTAACAGTGTCATGAAAGAAAGGATCTTGATGTAATAGTTGATTAGTCTTAAGCCATCCAAGCAGTGTGCTGTTGCTAGTGGGAAGGGAAATAATATTTTAAGTTGTATCTACAGAAATATTGAGTACAAGTCTAAAGAAGTTACAATGTCATTGGATAGATCATTGGTTAGGACACGTTTGGAGTACTGTGTTCAGTCTTGGGCTCCTTACCTTAGAAAGGACATTGAATTGTTGGAAAGGGTTCAGAGGATAGATACTATGATGAGGAGAGGTAAAAACTTCTAAACTTGTTTTCTCTTGAAAAAAAGAAAAGTTAAAGGGGATCTGAATGAGGTGTTTAAGATTGCAAGGTAAGATTTTGGTAAGGTAGGAGCCATCTTCAGCTAAGACAGTTTTATTTTTCTAACAGGGTGGTTGGCCTTTGGAATGGGTTGCCTTCAGATGTTGTGGAGGCAGTAAATTTAAATGAGTTTAAGAAACATCTTGATAAGTATATGAATGATAAGGGTTATATTTGGGATTTTTTATTAATAGTTTTAGTTTAATTTAGAATATGGGACATCCAAGATGAACTAATAGGTTCCATGTTGTCCCAAAACATTATATTATGTTATTTTTACCATACATGTCGTTTAGAATAGCTTATTCATAGATGCTAATATAAATTGCATACTTTTTTAACTTCTTTCCTTTGTTTTCAGTTATTTAAACTCTCTTGACCGAATCTGTGATCTAAACTACATACCCACTCAACAGGATGTCCTTAGGACCCGTGTAAAAACTACAGGGATTGTAGAAACACAGTTTACTTTCAAGGGCCTTCATTTCAAGTAAGAAAAGTTATTATTGTTTGTGCAAAAATTTAATAACTGTAGTTGTACAAGAATAAGCTTTGTTTTGTTTCCTTTCTTAATTAACCTAAAAATATTCATTCATTTTTTTTAACATTTTGAATACCAGTTATTTTATGTCATACAACTAGGGTTCATTTTGAAGCCTGAGTGCTTAAACAGATATATGAAATATTTCAAAACGTTTTTGACTTAGTTTTATTATTGATTTACTTTAATAAAGTATGTTTCAATGCAACACCCTGTTCTTTTTCAAGTTAGTTTTTGTAAGTTTTAAAAATTTTGATGAAAAGATAAAACGATAAATTATAATAACAATTTTACGTTACATAAAATTAAGTATTCTGTACAGTACTCTACTCATTCCTAAGCATTCTGCTAAGAAAGTATTTAAAAATAAGAATGTTATCATTCACAACAGTAGTTACTTTAATAAGTCGAACCAACTTACCCTAAAAGTTTGTTTAATAGATATTTTTCTTTTGATAATATTCCTCATTTCTAACTCACAGTGTTCACTAAAATATAGTGTTTTGTCGTATTATATAGAAATGAAACTACTTTCTCTGTTGTGTTCAAATATAAATTTGCATATTGTTGTCTGTTTAGATGTTTGTATTCCTTTTTCAACCAAATTAACTTTTGAATTTGAGTCCCTTGCCTAGGTTTGAGGCTGAAGAAAATTATGATTATTGTCTTTTTGGCTTTCATATTTGTTGAATAGATTTTTTCTGGCTTAGTAATGCTGTACCCACATCTGTGCACGTAAGATGTAATTGATTAACTTAAATGTTTTACAAATTATCCATTTTCACTAATATCAGTTTTGATTGGAATTTGAAAGAAAAATTTCTTGGATTTTAGAATGTTTGATGTAGGAGGACAACGATCAGAAAGAAAGAAATGGATTCACTGTTTTGAGGGAGTCACAGCAATTATATTCTGTGTATCTCTTAGCGAGTATGACCAGGTTCTGGCTGAAGATGAAGAAATGGTACTTTTTTTTTTTCATTATTTTCACTTTATAAAAGTGTATTTTTACAGTACTTATTTGTAAATTTCATATAAATTTCTTTATACATATTTGTTAATTTAGTTTAATATTAATTAGTTTTTGTTTCTTTAAAAAATATTAGATTCCAGTAAAAATAGGAACCACTAACTTTATTCCACTTCCTAACTTGTAGTGATGCATTTTCTTTTCATGGGCAACATTTTCAAACCATATAGTTGATTTAATGAAGTTTCAATGCAGCCCTTGATAAACATAACTGTCATTATGCTTCATCATTCATAGCCTATGATGTGTTCCAGTAGCACAGCAGTAAGCTTTTAATATTACACCAGTTTCAGTCCATGATAGGCTTTTAATATTACACCAGTTTCAGTCCATGGTAAGATTTTAATGCTACACCAGTTTCAGTCCATGATAAGGTTTTAATGCTACACCAGTTTCAGTCCATGGTAAGATTTTAATATTACACCAGTTTCAGTCCATGATAAAGTTTTAATGCTACACCAGTTTCAGTCCATGGTAAGCTTTTAATATTACACCAGTTTCCATCCATGGTAAGCTTTTAATATTACACCAGTTTCAGTCCATGGTAAGCTTTTAATATTACACCAGTTTCTGTCCATGGTAAGCTTTTAATATTACACCAGTTTCTGTCAATGATAAGATTTTAATACTAAACCAGTTTCAGTTCATGGTAAGCTTTGTTAGTGGACTGAATACACTTTGAAGAGTGGGGTAAAGTGATATGTATTTAAAATAATACCCAACTCAGGTAGTATCGGTGTTTCCTGTTTTCAAGAGAACAAGTAATTTCTTATGTGTTATAAATCTATTTTACTCCCAAGGACTCCTTTGATATCTCGTACTTATTTATAACTACCCTTAACAAGTATGAGTTTAGCTTTCTTTTGGTATTAAAAGAATGCTTAACGTTAATTATTTGTTCATTTCAACTTGTTAAATTATCTTATAATTTTGATTAAAGTGTATGTAAAATCTATCTGAAACAATAACATATATGTTAGTTTATTCTCTATATCATGTAAAGGGTTTGTTTGTTTGTTTCTAGTTAAGTATAAAGCTACACAGTGGGCTATCTGTGCTGTGCCCACCATGAGTATACAAATCCAGTTTCTAACATTATAAGTCCGTAGACTCACCACTGTGCCACTAGGAGGCATACTTAGAGGGAATAAGAATTTGTGTATCATGTGTTAGAGTTGATGGGGGTTTTAAGTTTTTGTTGTTCAGCTTTATATGGCAATTTATCACTTTTCTTCACATAATAATAATAAAAACTTAAATTCCACATAAGCTAAGCATTGGACTCCATAGTTACAATCTCGGCTATTTAATTTGTTTGCCATTCATGCAGAGAGAACCTTTGCCTTATATTACATCTACATCACGTTATGCTCTTATCTTCTCGTTAGATTACATATCATGCTAACTGTGTTTAAATGTTACATATCATGCTAACTGTGTTTAAATGTACATATCATGCTAACTGTGTTTAAATGTATTTTACTAGGAGTTCGGACAACTACCAATAGAGACTTTCTGTGATAGAGCAATCTGACTTAATTAATGTTCACTATAAATATTTTAACTTATGTAAAGCTACCTATATTATTACAAGCATATTTAGTGAATGTTTGTTTGTTCCTCAGATCACTACAGAACAACAGAAACATTCCTACTGATTATATAAAATTTCTTAAAAGTTAACTTGTTTCTGAGAAATTATTGTAATATCAAATAGTCACACTAAAAGTTTGGAGATGGTTTGAACGTATTATGAAGAAAACTTTAATATAAATGTACAATCTTTCGACAAGATTATGTCATCATTAGGTACCCTGATGGTCACACCGTTTTCTAACTAGTTAAAAAATTTCATTTATATTTGGGCTGATGTGATCTAGAAGCTAGCATGCTCAGACTTTCGATCAGTGTGTTTATGGTTCACAGATTATTGCTGGAAAAATGTGCTTCACACTTTGGGGTTGTGGTTGTGCAGTCTGAGTGATCGTAAAATCCCACTATTTATCCAGACAAGAGTTAGGAGTGTATGCTGTTGATTATTTGCCTTCCTTCTGGTATTTCAGTTCAAAATTAGGGACACTTAGTGCAGATAGGTTTCAACAAACATTCTGAAAGAAATTGATGAAACTGTTTATTTTTTCAAGTAAAAATTTCTCTTGTTTAGTAATAATTTAACCTTATGAATTTTTCTCTTTTTTTTTTTCATACTAAGTGACGTTACTAATAGCTAATGCATCTTGTTATGATTATAGCATGAGTTTTACTGTTCGTTACTTTAAATTGTGATTTCTTTAAAGGTGAAGGTGAATAATGTTTGTTCATCATTTAGAATCGTATGGTAGAATCAATGAAGCTTTTTGACTCGATATGTAACAACCAGTGGTTTGTAGAGACATCAATCATCTTGTTTCTCAACAAAAAAGATTTATTTGAAGAGAAGATTGCCCAGTCACCATTAAACATTTGTTTCCCAGAGTATCAAGGTAATTTTACTCAAACTTCTGACTATAGATTTAAAAAAACATATGACGAAGATGCTACATATAATTCTAAGATAAACACTTATGAAGTTTAAGAAAAAAGGTATTAATGTTTAGAAATCATCATTAAAAATGCAGATGACATTTGTGGTGGTATTTGATGAGAATAGTAGTTTTTCACTAAATAAAACTAGTAATGTATTATATATCCTGACTAAATATTTCTTGATCTGATATACATCTGGCTATAAAGTTATACAAGTAGTGTGACAGGGTTGTCAAGGGCTTTATTTCTGAGTATCCTTCTAATGCTGATAAGACTGATAAAATATAATCAATGAATTCCACTAGAAAAAAATAACCTTTATACAATTGATCATATCTGAATTACTCTTTATCATTTTGCTTAACATTCAATGTTCTGTTTGTTGTTTCACTTCATGCTTTTAGTATTTCATTATTAGTGTCATGATCAGAGGTTCCAAAGTACATCATACTATCTTCTATTAAGATTACAACAAGAGGCTTATTTGTTGAATGGAAAATGTAAAAGCATTCTTCTCATTTAAAGTTCTATGCTGTATTGTACGTTTTAAGCATTTTAAATTCCCTTTGGGATTGTTAGAAGCAAAAACTGTGATTTTTTTAATGGTTTAGTACAGGTGAGATGGCTGTAATCAGTATTGAAACACTAAAAAAATGTTATTGTTAAAGGAGCTAATAACTATGAAGAGGCTGGAGCTTATATTCAGATGAAGTTCGAAGCACTAAACAGACGAAAAGGCACCAAAGAAATCTACACTCATTTTACGTGTGCCACGGACACAAACAACATACAGTTTGTTTTTGATGCAGTAACGGATGTCATAATCAAAATCAACCTCAAAGATTGTGGGTTATTTTAAAGATTAAAACTGCCAGAGGTGAGTATTTCAGTGTTACAGTTGTTTCGAAGTATCATATTTTTGGTTATAAATACTGATTGGTATAGTTATTTACAAATAATCTAATGCTATGGACTTTGTTCTAGTAATCTACAGAGGGTTAATCACACTATCTAAGAATGATGTGTACGTACTAATACAGTGATGTCTTACTGCAGATACGGGGCGTGCTTTGAATGACATATCTGGTGCTTGTATATTTGATAATTAGTGAATTCCCAAACATTTGATGAACAATATCACCATGAGAATATATTAGTCTTTTCTGAAGAAGGAAATTTGTCTAGTGAGATTGTTAAATGACATAGACCCAGAAGATACAACATTTCAAAGAAAGGAGTCTTCAGTGTTTTCTCTTAACATAGAAAAACATACACACTATAGCATTTAAGATAGGTATAGGCTCTGAAGCCATACCTCAAACCAACCCCAAGCAACAGGCTCATCTTAAAGTGAATGTAGTGTTTATGAAAGAGAGCCCTCTGCCCCAAAAAGCTGTTGTGAAGAAGCTGGACATACCTCCTGGTATCATTAACAAGAAAATAAACAGGATTTGAAGTTGGTGAAGGTTCTCAAGCCCTAAGTTCACAATTTTTAGGCCACACCTGAAAATGAATGACAGGGTTCATGAGAAAGATGACTGTAGAAACTGGAACCACAGCAATTCTCTCTGAACATCTACCTGTCACATCCCCCTAATGTATTACGTCGTCAAGAAATTAATATCCCTTTTTTTAAGATGAAAAACTGAACAAAACATTTATTAAATGAAATAGTCTCCATTCTTATCGATGATGCTTTTCCATCTTACACTCAGGTTGTTAATGCCCTGATTAAAGAAACCACTTGGTTTTGAAGCAAAAAACATGTTAATGTCCTCTTTAACACCTTCCACACTTGCATATGTTTTCCCAGTAAAATGGTTGCAGTGAACGAAAAAGATGGTAATCTGATGGTGCCATATCTGGAGAATATGGTGGATGTGGAGAACTTCCCAACCCGACTCCATAATCTTGTGTTGCGTCAAACGTGCCACATGTGTCTTGGAGAAGAACATATTTTTGATTGACGAGTGAAGCGCTTGATTTAAACATTCCAGCTTCTGACTATAGATCTCTGTAATGACAGTTCACTGTCGATTGAGGATGTCCCACCAAATGCAACGCATCACTTTCTGAGGATGGAGTCCAGGTTTTGGGGTCGGAAGTGGTTTTGTCTAGGACTGAGCCATTGTTTTTGGCATTTAATATTCACATAGAGAATCCATTTTTCATCACCGGTGATAATTCTGTCCAAAAATAGTTCACGAGCATTATGTGCCAGAAGAGACGAAGCAACGTACACACGTTGGAAACGATGGTTATTGGAGAGTTTGTGAGGCACCCAAACACCCTCTCTATGGAGGTTTCCCATATTCCTTAGATGTTTACGTATTGTTTCATGAGAGACATGCAATTTCATGGCCATATCATGAGTGTGTGTTGCCTTGACTTAGACTCAACAAGCATCTTCAGAGCATCAATATCAATTTCCAACATGTTGGCCCCTGCCATCACAGTTTTTAAGACTAAAGTCACCTGAACAAAATTTGCTGAACCATCATTGACACATAAGATGTTCAAGACATTTCCATAAATGTCTTTGATATTCTTTGTGGCTACAGAGGCGTTGTTTCCATTCTTGTCTTCAAACAGCATTACATGCCAAATGTGTGTCTCATCATGTGCTATCACTAACATGGATTAGAGTATACTAAACTTTACAAATTATACAGGCTACACTAATGTAATGTTTCAGCAGTTCATTTAACTATTATACATGATGTACATTTTTGGGGGGTGGTTAATGAAAGTATTCCAAAATGCAACATTAACGTGTTGACATCCTAATAGCTTCAGTAAACATCTGTGCATTTGTTGTGCTGAAACATGATGTTAGAATCCAACACCCATATACAGTGGAGGATCTGTGGAAAGTTTGTCAATATATTTGGTTCAAAAAACACCCTTGCTAAAGCTTGTTAAGTGTTATAGTGGAAATTGCAGTGTCTGGCAGTAGTGTGTTTTCCTGTTAATCAAATCAAGCACAGACAATGATGAAGAAAGTAGTTTTGCTGACATGATGGAACATGAAAAACTGTTGTTTTATAAGTATGACTTACCCTCAATAGTATTTTATTTTGATTGATTAAGAGTAACCTAGCATTGCAGCTAGTTCTATCCCTTGTTGCATGTTGTGTTATTTTATTTCATTAGCTTTACTGATCAAAGCAAAATAAGTCACTTCATTCAGAGTATACAATGCACACATTAAATTGAAAGTGAGGAATAAGTTTTTCTATGTATAAATCTGTAAGTAATTCTCATGTATTTTCTTTTTCAGAGAAAAAAAATTGAAGTTCAAAAGATATATATATATCTACAATAATAAAACAACTTGTTCATGCATCTCAGTATCCACAAGTATCCTCTGGTCAAGATATTTTATGGGTTTCTATGAACCACAAAATGTGCAAAATTACATCAGGAACTAGTGAAGACACATTGATCAAGACATGATTTTCTAATTGTTGGAACTTACAGTTGTTTGAGACATTGATTTAGTTAATAAAAAAAACAACAATTATTCAGGTATTATTGGGGATGCTAATCATATTGCCAAGATATTAATTTTCTTTGCCAGTTTGTTATTCAGTATTAATAATGAAAATACATTTGTATTTTGTTTGATAATTTGTATAACACTTTCATTAGGTTATAAGATGTCTTAATAAGGTTGTTAAGTTCAGTATTAATTTCACTAAAAATATTTTAACACTAAAATTTTACATTGAATGTTTTTGGATGGAAAATGAACTGGATTTAATATAATTTCACAAGTTCTCTGATAATTTTGAAAGCATCAAACATTAACAAAAACATATCATAATGTTCAGATTCATGTCACCAAAGAAGTGCACTTCATTTACTATTTAACATGAACACTTTCTTCACATTAAAGTAGATATTAAACAGCAGTGTTACTTTATTACAATATTTTATACTCCTTCAATCGTTAATTGATAAGTATAGAATGTAAATTGCTAGCATCACCACAGGGCTACAATCAGATGTATTTCATCTGATGTATCTCTAGTGATTTAACTGTAATGAGGTGATCTTTACATTTTGTTATAAACAGTAAAAGGAAGCAAACTGTTCATCTTTTTGTGAGATCCTATCAAAAAACATGGAGTCTATGTTTTGATTTTGGTTGAAACAAAACTTATGAGAAATTCGTTTCGTTGTTATTATAAAAATGGATTCTTTCTGAAATTCCAAATTATCTTTTTTCAGTTATATTCCTCCCTAGGCTTACGGAGATTCACACCAAAACGTTTTCTCTTTGCATATTTTTATTTACTTGTACACTTTTGTGAATGAATTACATTGGTAGACTATGTGAGACAGACGTCACAAATATATAAAGAATGATATAATTTTATGATGGTACTACAGATTTGTCTACCAATACTCTGTGTTTTGTGTGCTTTTCTAAACTCTCATATCCAGTGTAACAAATATCCAATCGGTAACAATAACTATACCACAAGTTTTATTTTTAGTGGGCTTCATGAGATCATTCATTTCATCCCACCAGGGTATCCTGAATAACACTACATAATTTTAGTGTGATTAACATATTCAGGTAAATCATAGCATCGTATAGAAACAAACATTAAGTTGTGTGTGTTGTTTTCATCTTCAGCCAACCAAAGTTTGTGTTTTATCATATTGGTATCTATTGTTCTATAGTATAAAATTTTTTATCATGATTCTATCAGTTTCTCTTATAAATCCTTTGTGTTGAGAACACACTAAGAAATAGTGTTTCACTGTGATTCTAAAATACAGTTAGCTTGCAAAACTTAAGCATCTTGGTTGGCCAACCAGCCTTGCATGTTGCGACTTCCATTTGTGACTGAACATTCATAGAAATATATCAAGACATTATGACATTCCTTTATATTTGATCTCTGTTGTTAAAAAAGCACAAGAAACTTTATTTTGTCAAGCTATATGGTAAATTAGTTGATTAGCTAAAGACAAAATTTTGGTATATTTTATGATTCTGTAACGGTCTCAAAATACACCACAGCTGTGAAAGTGTGCCATTTCTAAAAACGAGTTTATGCAGAAGTTAAAGCAAACTATTACATGACGATACTGCAATAAATTATTTTTTTAATGGATGGTCATGTTTATTGTCATATTTCACTTTTTTTTTACCATCTCCTTTGATAAATTTTTATGTTCTGATGCCTTAATTCGTATCTTATGAGCATTTTAATGTTTGAATTTATATCTTGTGATCAGAATTTTGATATTTTGACACTGACCACTTTTCACGTGTCAGGGCCAGTGGTTGAGTTGCAATGTTTATTAATCAGATCTTGGTTGTTTGTTAACCAGATCTTAGGTAAAAATTTAAGTTTGATAGTGTAAATAAAATAGTTTGTTATCACTCTTATACTACTGATGATTGAGGTGTGGCGAGAACAAATATAGAGTAGATGATTACTTGTTTTTTAATGCAAATGTATATATGCAAGTCTTAAAATCATTTTGTATTTTTGTAATTGTTTCACGTTTTCTTTCTAATACTTATTAGGTGCTAGAATTGATGTTTTAAATATATATATATATATATAACAACTAAAAAATGGTGCAATTTGAATATTAATGTGGTTATTAATTTTTACATGTTAAATGATACTTAACTATAGCAAGGATTATATATGACTATTCCTAATATTTTGTATTATAGGTGTCATTAATAATGTTTAGGATATCTAGTGCTAATACTTTACATACATTATTGAATAAAAATGCTTTTTGTATGTTATAACTACTTAGGTTCTGATAGTGTTATATTTCAGTAAGAAAATATATCTATTTTTACAGTTTTTTCTGAGGGTAAGTAATGCAAATGATAAAATCCAAACTGTTGTTTTATATTTAATTGAAAAGTGTCCTGACACAGGTAAATTTCAACTTGATGTATATACTATAAGTATAAGGAGCATTGCTAAATGGTGGAATAGAATATTCATATGCCTAATATTCTTAAACGAGATCAGCTTTTGGCATTTAGCATAGTAATATAGAATATTTCTGTTCCAAAGTAGATTGATATGACTCAGCATTAAGAACATACTGAATATAAAAAAAATGGGTATCAAGTTTTAATGTAATTTGAGCATAAAATGTTTTTTTTTTTAATCAACCAATAAATACAGGAATGGAAGAAAATCACCTATTCCTTCTTATGTTTGATGTGGTCTTAGGCCTAAGTTCTTGTTACTCTACCATTTTTTGTAATATCATAAAATATTTAAAAAAAAATTAAAGGTGTAAGACTCAATAGTATATTTACATTTAGTTGTAACATTAGGCATATTTCATAACGTTTAGTATGCGATGTTTCACAGAAACGTAGAGTACCTAAACAATCCTCTAAACAGGTTAGGCCTTCTTAGTATTTGCTTATATCTTACTCCACAAAATAAAATGTTTTTTAAAAATACATTCATGAAAGAAAAACAATTTTATTTAACACTATGAACAAACCTGATGAAGAGCAGGGGCTTGGAATGTTGTTAAAAGTGTTTTTTTTCTTCAAAAACTGCTTCTTTTACTTTTATAGCCCAATAGCTCAAGTACTTTTACTTGTGTGTAAAAAAAAGTTTGAAACCTAATTCCTAATTAAAAAGGAGTACAGGGTTCGAATCTGGCCTTAATTATGAAGTTTTGGGAGTAATAAGTGTTCAAATTGAGCAGTTTCTAAGGTACTGTACAAAATATGTAATTCCCCTACATACAGCAGTTATTTGAGCCTATATCCGTTAATGTTTTAAGTTAGAAACTTAAAATTGGTACCAAATCGAAACACATGGATAGCCTGTTATTGTATATATATATTAATGAACTCATTTACATATTCATAAATATTCATTAGATGCTAATATTCACGAGGAAAAAATAACTTTGTAGTTTTAAACCATAGAAGAGGCAAACAAAACAGAAAACTTATGATTGTAATAAATAAACTTAGTATTCCGAAAATTGTTTAATTTCGAAGTCTAAGTTCAAGGGAAGTCCAGTTCAATTTACAACTTGATCAACATGTGTTATTGGGGTTATACTAGTTTAGGAGAATTCCACTCCTCATCAGTAACCCAGAACACAAGTTAACCAAAGAGAGATAATCTGGTGCCACTATGAGAACTTAGCTTTCGAGATTAAACAATTTTCAGAATACTGAGAAATTTTCGAAATGGTGTTTATGTCACAGCAATACTGCATAGGATTTGTAAATACACCGTATGTAAAAATACGTTTTTTTTTTGACTAATCATTTGGCTTATGCTCCTCAGGAAGAGCGTAAGTCTAGAATGTTGACCAGTTAGTATTTCGTGTGAATATCATTTAATTTTTTTCGCCACGTAACGATTTCTTCTTGTTTGCCAGCTTGCTTCCAGTTGCCTCGAAAAATGCTATGTAGTTGGGGAGAGTGACTGTCAAATCCCATTTTATCCGTCAGATAACAGCACAGAGCTATACCATACATATTACAAGAGTAGCCCAAAGCGGTGGGTGATGTTGATTAGCTGCCTTTCCAAATTAGATAGCTAGAGCAGATAGCCATCGAGTAGCTTGCGCGAAATTCAACGAGAACAACAACAAAAAACCTAACAATATGCAGGTGGCTCTTTGTATAGATTTAAGATAAAAATCTGAACAAACTTACTTCAATTTTGTTAAATAATACCCACTAAGTACCACTTATCTCCTTAGCCTAGGACAGTTTTAAATTAAACCTGAAAAACTTTGTTGACAAAAATCTTACCATTTTCTACGACAAAATAGTAAAACATGATTTAAACAAAACCTAAAATATGTTTACATAAATCGTTTTAATTGGTAATTTTACATATTTTAATACTAAAAATTTAACACTGTAAACTGAAAAGCCTTGCACGTTTTGCGTTTTTTACTCGGCAGTTACATCAACCAATGAAGTAAACTTGTGTACATGCTAGAAAACTTTTACCCTACTATTGCATATTAAAAAATTGAGTAACTTACACAAAACCTATTTCATTTCAACAACTTACTTCGAAAATGAATTATTTTATAAACAGAAATTTCCAATACTTCCTTGTTAATTAATTACATAATGTATTTGGCATTTCCTTTCCTGCTATATTTATATAAATATTATTTCCTGGTCTTCGTCATTGAAGAACTCTTACGGCGAAATATGCATCCTCAACGCTAATCATGTGATAAAAAATTTGTACTGTTAGCTCTCCCTCTCTTGACGTAAATGTAAACCAAAGCTTGAAAAATATGTAGAAAACAAGCTGAATGCCCGTCATATGACGGGAAATAATTATTAAGTTTTTCCCCAATATTATATCCAAAGAGTCTTACACTGCTAAATTAGGGACGGCTAGCGCAGATAGCCCTCGTGTAGCTTTGCGCGAAATAAAAACAAACAAACTGGATTAATGTCACGAGTGGGGTACCTCAGGACTCAGTTTTAGGACCTTTGCTTATTTTGATTTACATCAATGACATAGATGAAGAAATAGTTAATAAGTTACTTTGCAGATGATATTGAATTATAAGTATAATTTGGATGGAAATAACCTTAACAATGTTATGAAGGAAAGGCATCTTTTTGTAATAGTCGATCAGTCTCTAAAGCCATCCAAGCAGTGTGCTTTTGCCAGTGGTAGGACAAATAGGATTTTAGGTTGTATATACAGAAATATTGAGTAAAATTCTAAAGAGGTTATAATTTCATTGTACAGGTTACTGGTTAAGCCACATTTGTAATATTGTGTTGTCTTGGGCTCCTTACCTTAGGAAAAACATTAAATTGTTGGAAAGGGTTCAGAGAAGGGGGTTACTAAAATGGTGCTGGGGGTGGAGGGGTTGTCATACGAAGAGAAGGTGAAATCTCTCAAATTGTTTTCTCTTGAGAAAAGAAGTTAGGGGGATGTAAAGGGAATTGATAGTGTTGATGCATCATCTTTTTTCATATTTAACAGTGAAAATAGTAGGACTAGGGGACACAAATATAAATTTTGGTAAGGTAGGAGTCATCTAAGACAGTATCATTTTTCCAACAGGGTACTTGTCCCTTGGAATGGGTTCCCTTTGGATGTTGTAGAGGCAGTAAATTTAAGTGAGTCTAAAGAAAAGCTTGATAAGTATATGAATGATAAGGGCTGTCTTTAAGATTTTTTAAAATTATTTTAATTTATTTTAGAGGATGGAACAGCCGAGGTAGACCAATAGGTCCCATGTTGTCCCAAAACGTTATGCTGTAGATTGAAACGTGCGAAAAAACTGATTCTCGAAGACATATTCCTACATGGTCAACTGTATGACACTGTAAATTATTAATTGTGATGATAAATGCAGTAAATTTTATTATGAATTTCGAGTTCTTCCCTTTGGACTGTCTTCCTGGATTTGGCTTTGTTAGCCTGCTTTTAGTAAAATGACGCAATAATATAACAATCTCCAATTCATAACTAGTGAACTACACAACGTATGGTTCTTAAGTTACCTAAACACACTTGCGATAAACTATCGCTTCTAAAAATAACTAAGTTTGACACTCGTGCTGTATAAACTATCTAAATCATAACACTCGCATTAAACTTAAATTGAAACTGTTGTGTATGTCTAACAATAGTGTAGGCCCGGCATGGCCAGGTGGATAAGGCGCTCGACTCGCAATCTGAGGGTCGCGGGTTCGAATCCGCATCCCACCAAACATGCTCGCCCTTTCAGCCGTGGAGGTGTTATAATGTGACGGTCAATCCCACTATTCGTTGGTAAAAGAGTAGCCCAAGAGTTGGCGGCGGGTGGTGATGACTAGCTGCCCTCCCTCTAGTCTTACACTGCTAAATTAGGGACGGCTAGCGCAGATAGCCCTCGTGTAGCTTTGCGCGAAATTCCAAAACAAACAAACAAACAATAGTGTATAGTTATCGTAAAGAGAATCCTTGTATGTGTCTTTCTACTTTTAGCATTTCTTGTGTAATTAACGTGTTTACTTTCTAAGTATGTTCGATGATATTCGGGCATTTTCAAAATTGAAATGTGCTGCGGGTTATTATCCAGTTGTAGCGGAGGGTTCCGATTGGACAAAATTTGGTGATGTTGCGTCAGTGTGTCTTCTTGATAATCAAGCAAACGTAATGAGGAATTTCAACCAGTGATTGTGATTTCTCTGCGCCAGCAATACCAAGCGTGGGGCGCGCGTATACCCGATTCGATTTTATTACTCATCACGATTTCTACCAACCTAACCTCAAATATAAATATACGACCAAAGCAGCGTATCATCCGTTTTATGTACAATTTTAAAAAGACAAACTTGCTTGTCGCGGCAGAAAGCGCCGTAGTTTCGAGCAAGTTGCGTGTCGATCGGTACCGCAACGGCCGAGATATGGGCGTTACAGACGAACGGCTTTTCGTCGTTACACAGTAGATAGTCGTACTTACACTTGACTATTAATTTTATGTAGAAGCTGATAAATTTTTTATTAGCG